CCTGCTTCTATCAGCTCTATATGTCTTTCTTTATGTCCCATGGGAGGCGTAACTATGGCTACGTCAACTGCTTCAATCAAGTAAACAGATTAATGCACTTCACGGCCAGGTTACTATGAAACACGCTGGATATTCATAGTCCCCAGAGGATGATTCAGAGTGATATGATTTGTTTTTCCACAACCAGCATGTTAAGTCATGACGAGGTACCTCCAAAGCTAATGTGGTGTGGATGGTCATGGTCACCACAGGACCATGGACTTATTTTAAGAGTAATTTCCTTGGATATGATACACTTTACATTGGATTCATATCAATACTGCACTATATCACTGATTTGATTTGACTTCACTAAGTCCTGCCCCCGGATGCAGACTGGTCAATCATAACGTAGCATCTAGCCGGCTCAGGCCAGGGTCCAACACCAACACAGCTGTGCTCCATTGACTTTAATGCAATCGTTTCAGATTTCCTTCATTTTCAGGCAGGTTTTGTGGATTTGGAGCTAAATGTTGTGTCTGGAGCACGTCGTGTATTAATGATACTCGTTACCTGGAGAGGTTGGAAAAAGATATACATTTCTTCCCTTTTCCAAAACCAAAATTAAACCCTGAAAAGTGTAGGATTAGCTAGCTAGTAGCCTCTATATACAGACTCTACATTCAGTGAATGTCTGTAGGCAAACCCCGGAGAAATTGCCTCTGGAAGAAGAGTGGAAGAGCCCTGGTTTCCGGTTTTAGGCTGTTTGTAGTCCGCGTGATATTGACCAATCACGTTTGAGCCGGCTGCAGCTGTTGCCAGGTTAAACGGTCTGTGTGGTGAACTAATGAGGCGGAACACAATTGGCGTCACTGCAAACTCGGAATCCATCGCAATGGTTCAGCATATTTACTTATATATAAACGGAAGTCGGAAACGGAAATTCGCCTCCTCCGCCCAAATCAAACCGGAATACCAAAAAATCAGGGGTCTGCCCCCAGAGGCTGTATCGCCGTCTGCCGGAAGTCAGACGCCGAATACAATTGATGGGTTCCGAGAATGGCTAGCTAGCTACTGAAGATATAGCCTACTGAATGCATACACATGCTGCTTTTGCTTTTTAATGATTATAACAGTGAAACAAAGTCCGACCCTGCTGTACAGGAACCAGTGAAGGGAAGCAGGGAAACTTTGCTGATATTCAACCAGCTGTGTGTCATCGCAGTGTGTGCAGATGAACGTTGCTTGACTTTCCCCGGAGATCCCTTCCTGGTCCAGGTGCTGGCAGCAGCACGGGGGCGAAGCCAAACACTGTTCATCTTGTGTGGCGATCAGCAGTGATGTGGTGGTTCACTTTTAAACTGTGATCTGTAGCCTATAGTTCGGCTTTAGCTTCTAACTATCTTTGTCTTTTTAACCTGTTGTTGCTGCTGAGTCAGTTTGACATCCTGGATATATCCTTCATACACAGACTGTAGACCCCTCTGTCTGCTTCTCTCTGGAATCACTCTTTCATTTTTCCATATATATGATAATATTTCTTCAGGGAGTGCAGTTAGTTACAGTGTGGGCTCCATGCTTACTCCAACAGCTTGTTAGATCATCACAAAGTGCTTAAACAAGTAAGGAAAATATATATTGATAAATGGAAAAAAACAAAGGTTAAACAGTGAAATCTGTAAAACATTAACAAAGTAAACACAAATACAGATATATAACAATAAATCATAGCAGAAAATAGTACATAAAAACTTTATTTGAACCTTTCTTTGACCTTTCCTTTAGTGCCACTATCAGACCAATATTTCTTCTTGTACACAAAAAATGAAAACAATTCACTGGACAGCTTCACATGGGATTTCCTGAACACATTTCTTCTTCCCAGAGGATGCACTCTCTTAAATCTACCGACCCGATGACCTTTTCTCTTGTGCCACCCTCAGTCTGAAGCTCCTCCACTTTTAACACAAACCGAAACATTTGGGTTCCTGTGATGTAACACCTGCTCACATTGTCCTGAATCTGTCCGTCCACCTCTGTACTTATGTCCCTTTTATCTTCTGCTGGCCGTGCCTGCAGAATGAGCACCCACAATGCACCTGATCAGGCCTGCTGGTGGCTATTGTTACTGTGGAGACGGCGACAATAGGACTCTAATTATAAACAGAATGAATAGATGGTCACAAGAGTGGGAGGATGGGAGAACATGTCGTGTTTCTGAATAACTGTGTCTGTATGTATTTGTACACTGTGGTCACATCGTGCAGCTGGGCCTCTGTCATTACACACTGATTGAGGCTAATGGATGTAGTTTAGGCATTTGTGTTTGTGTTGTAGGCATATTGTGTGTGTGTGTGTGTGTGTGTGTGTGTGTGTGTGTGTGTGTGTGTGTTTTTGGAAGCAACATCATCAATGTCAATCTGTGTCAGTCTGGCTCCCTTTCACTGTCCGTCCTGTCTCTCTTCATGCTGTAAATATTCTCTACAACTTTACATGTTTCCAGATAGGAACGGTTTAAACTATTCTGTTTATTCCCTATTCTTATTTTGAAAGCTTTTAGCTGTGGGTTTGCTGTTAGCAGTCATCAGTAGTTTGATGTTTCAATTAAAGTTCTTCCTGCTTTAATTATTTGATTGATCTGTTTATGGATTGCTGAATCATTTTACACGCCTCATAAATCCAGTAAATGTAAAGCATGTCCTCACTGGCAGAATGAGCTAAGGTAGCAGCCAGCTGACTGAAGTGATGTTAAAGAGATAGAGAGAGTTAGACTTCACAATTTGTAACACGATTGTGATGACCATTTTGTTGAACTTTATAATCGCTTCTGCCAAGGAAGTCGTGGTTCTGGTGCAGTTTGTGCATTCGTCTGTTTGCGGGATTTAAAAAAAAATACTGTCCTGTTAATTGATGCAACTTAGTAGAAGGGTGAAGCTGGGCCAAAGAAGAACATCAAATGGGGCAGATACATCTATTATTTTTCACTTTTTAACTCACAAGATATGCAGACGACTCCCTCCTCGGACACCACAAGCATACAGAGGTGGTTGAGCCAAAATGGCAGTGGCAGTGCTAACAACAGCAACGTTGCTGACAGAGCTAACAGTGTTAATGGTGGTTGGCTTACACTCACCGGGGCGACCTAGGGGGGCACCAGAGGGGGCAATGACACTGCGGTATCAGTAGCAACTCTCACTAGGTCTGTACCCAAATATTCGGATATATTTTTTTTTTTTTTTACTTTTTTTTGGTGCTAAATGTAGTCTTTTTGTTGTTGGTAAATGTAGGTTATCAATAAAAATCAAAACTTTTAAATTGGATTGTTAAAAATGTGAAAATATAGTATCCTACCAACTGAGCTTGAGAGCATCCGTCTGAGGCTGTGGATCAATGCCAAGTTTTACCACTTTATCACTATTCTCTCTAACTTGTAGCTGTTTTTTCGTTATCTTTTGAATTTAATATGAATTATGGAACCGTTTTTGTCAACGTTTGTTTCCCCCGTTTTGTACAATAAATTATTGTTTAAAGTTTCAACAAGTTTCTTTTGGAGTACATGACACAAGTGTGTTTTGAAAATGACCGCGGACTGTCACCTGCTCAACGCATCAGTACCTTTGGATGCCATGACAGTAATAGCCAATAATGTCAAAATATCATTTACAGACCGATTTAACAGACGGTCACTGCTGCCCGACCCGCAAATGGAGCAAAATAGTGACGCACGCATCACTACTCAGCTCAGTCTATAAATGCTGTACACACAACAGTAAGGCTATAGACATTATATTCTATTCAGGCCGGCAGAACCAGCAGCGCATCGGCTCTACAGTTACTTGCAGAGGCTTCCTACAACTTGTTTCAACGATACCGATTTAATTCACATTCAATTCAAAGAACTTTATTTATCCGTCGATTTAATCAGAAGACAAATTAAACAGGATGACTAGCCAATGTGAAAATAAAAAGAAAGCATAGAATAATGTACTGAAGGAGACTGTTGTGCCAACCCCGCCAAGCTGCACTGATTCATACACACACGTCATACATCACTCTCCATATGTCATCTACAAAACACACCAATCCAATTTGGCAGTCTGTTTAAGCTGCAAAATCTTCCCACTGCTGCCCCGCATCACTGCTGCTGCTCGCTCTTTCAGCCCCACCTCCACCCCAGCATCTACCTGCAGGCTCCAGCTAAGGGGGAAATATCTAATCATCGCTCCCCAGTGTCTCTCTGCGGGGAGCGATGATGCCAAACGTCCAGACGCCAAATTCTAACTATGTTCTGCTGTTGAAATGAACAATTAAAACGTGAGTTGTCTGACTGAACTGAGGTCTGCGCTCTCTGAGTGCCCTTCTGGTTTTATCTATATCTATACTCATTTTCTGTGTGTGAGCTGATGCAGCTCAGAAAGATCTAACATGGCAGGTTTGGTCACAGAGAAGTTGATTCAAATCCTGTCTGGGTCTTGATTGACTGTTGAATGGGTCAACAGTGATAAAATCATTTTGTGCAGATGACCACTGCTATTGTCTTTCCAATTTCAGTCCTGAACAAACCTCTAGAGACGGACGTATCCACCTTAATCTAACGCCATTTCTAAACCCACACTGATGCGCAGCCATGACAACATGCTTGTTTTGCCAGGAGTTTAAGAGTTAAGCAAAGCAATGAAAAATCAAACTACAATGTTGGGCGATATTTAGAAGACCTGTCTATTTAGAGCCGCCTTGATAGCAGTGTCTACAGTGTTTGCCATTGTTGTTATTATTCCTCACTGGTTCCTGAGCACCGCTTGAAGAAACACAGCTGTTTGATGTCACATTTCCAGGCGAATCAGTCAATTCGGTTGAGTAGGTGGATTCAAAGGTTTGGACCCAGCCAAAGTTATAACTTTAATTGTTGAGTCTTGAGCAATAGACTTCTCCTCTGGAGCTGAAATGAACATGACACCCCTGCTCCGCTGGAAGCTCCGTTAATTAGTGGTTTATTGCCTGTGTATGTTTTTCTCACCCAGGGAGAGAGCTGCCTCCAATCTGCAGCGATGTTCGTCAAAAGCAGCGGATCTCCATTGACACCCTGCCCCCAGAGGTCAAAGCTCCGTTCCCCTCTGACCCCATCATCCCCCTGCGGACCAAGACCACCAAGGAGTTTCAGTGAGTTTCCAGGCCCTGAAGACTGTTCCCACCTCACTTCTGATGCTCGAAACACAATAAAACAAGTTCTAAGAATTATTCTGGAGCCGGGCGGGGTTTGTGTTTTTTTGAGCATTGTGTTTGTGTTGCCAGGGAGGACATGGAGCGTGCCGTCCAATCAGGTGACTGGAGGGAGGTCCGAGAGTTTTACCTGACCACCTTCGACTCCTTCATAGAAATCAACGCTGCCTTCAAGGTAGAACACATAAACACACACACACACACATACAGTTTGGCTCCCAACAGAATGCCTGTTGTGAGAAAACTGTTTTAGAAGCTGTTAAAATTTAACCAGACGCCATAATTGTTTTACCATGGGAAAGCATTTTTCCTCTGCTGTTTTCCTAATTTTTTTCTCATGCTCTCTGCTTCCCTTTCTTTCCTCAATTTTCTGTCCTGCTCCCCCCATTCCCAGCGAGAGGCGAACGGATCGTTTAACACCATAGATGATTCAGGAGTCAACGCCAAGTTTGTCAATGCTGTTTACGACGCACTGCTCAGCACAGTAAGAACGTGATGACAACATCCTACCTACAAACACACACATGAGCTCACCATCCAAATGCTTCCAGATCTGTTCACCCTGTTTGATCCCTTAATGGCATTTCAGGTTCCAGATTCTTGATGTTACAGACTTGATGTCTGTAACAGAGTTTATAGCGTCTATATAAGTTTACACACTTTCTATAAAACTTCACATACTTGCTGACTTGATGAGCTGCCAGGCGATGCTCATTAATGACACAGTGTAAGAAAATATTTTGCCTGAACTCATCAGCAGAGTTCAGTCAGTGAATGTAAAAACAGCGCAAGATTTTTTTTTTTTCAAGCATGAAACGTTCCGAGCTGCCCCTGTAAACACTTCTGTGTTCTGAAGTAACCTCTCTGGTTAAATAAAGGTTAGGTAAATATGGCGGCCAGTGTTTCCATTTCTCTTTGTGGGTCCCTGACATTCAGGAATGTTGACTCAACCTTCTGATTCTTTGTGTTTTTAGACGTTGAATATGTTTTGGTGTGTGTGTGTTTAGCCTCAAGACATCCAGAAGTCAGTGCTGAAAGGGATCATCAACAGCCTGCTGAGGGAGTGGAAAGGGTGAGAACGCCTCAGTGACACATTCTGCATCTTACAGATCTATTTGCTCAATTACTTGATCTGTTTCAGCTTCGATGTAATGTCCAAACAATACGAATTCAGATCGGATATTTGGTCATTAAAAAAATCCTAATAAATTGGACATGATGTCCAAGCAGGTAGATGTGATAGAAGAGAAACTGAACTACTTATTTGACTAGTTGGTTTTTCTGTTGTGTGAAAAGTGTTTGTTTGTGTTCTGTTTTCAGGCCTCGGACAAAAGATGACCTGCGAGCTTATTTCATTCTTGTTCAGGTGAGTCAAAGATCCTCTTTACACCTTGAATTCAAATGTGTCTTGAATCCAGATTGTATGTAAATATGATTTGACTCAGTTAAAATGACACCTTGTATCTCCAGTGTCCACATTAAGATGTGATTGAGATCCAGTCGCTCTGTCCAGCTCAAACAACCAAACATCACTCCTATTGTTTTCCATCATTTGCTAAGCCATTGTAACATAAATGGCTTAGTTGCAATATGAATTGCCATGTTTGCCAAGCTTTTTTGCTAGTAGCTTAGCTTTCTAACTGGCTATTGGCTGCTACCTCGCCGTTTGCAACAGTCGGTAGCAATTACGTATTGCTGCCCCTATAGTCACTGTATGTTGATTGAAATTCATAGAAAACCTATGAAATTAAAAAAAAAGAAAACTGTATTCCAGGCCTGGAAATGGTTTGGAATTAAGACAGTCTTTTGGAAAAGTTTTCAGTATACATAGTTCTGGCTTTTGTTTAAAATATGTTCATAAAAAGCCCCAAAAATGTTTGACAATTAGTCGAAATCGAGACATCCATACACATATCGATGTCCAGATAAGCCATATCCAGTCACAATGTTGAGTCATTGATCCACTTCGACAGGGGAAGAATAAAAGGACAGCGATCAGCCTTAATTCATTATAATATCACGTATGCTTTTTTGGACATGTCTATAAAACAAATGTTCGTTCAACAACAAATAAATGTATTCAGATTCATAACCCAAACAAAATTATAATGTAAACATACATACAATTACATTGACAGCTATATGATTTTGGTGGTCTTGACATTTTGCGAAGCACCTACGTACGTTGGCACGTGCAGCTAGTTGGCGGCGGAAGTGTCTAATGAGCGAGTAAAGTGAGCAAGTGCTAGCAGTTTGCTGAACTGCCTTGGAAGTGGGTGTTTAATAAGGTATGGCTGTATCGCTATTTAGGACTATCTATTTAAAACTACTTTAAAGAAGTCATGGAAGTAACGTAAAATATGGAAAAATTAAAGAAAAGTTTTGAAAATGCATGGTACACGGTATGTTAACTGTCAACTTTTATATCACAGTACACCTTGAAACTGGTATATTGGTTCAACCTCAAAGCAGAGTGGTGCTAAAAATGTTAAATAAACAACAATATTCAATCAGAACACGAGTGGATTAGACTTAAACAGTTGATTCTGAACCATAAACATAGTTTCTCCTGAATCCAGATCTGCAGGTCAGCTCAGGATGTCCATACTTCCACAAAAAAATTGAATTCACTTTGCTTTTATCCTTATTTAACACTGAAACTTTAACTGAACAACAGTTTTTTTTGTCCTCTTTCCTTCTCTTTCTCCCACACCCTTTTTTCTTCTCTCACATCTTTTTTTCTTTTCTCATCAGAGCTGGTGGACAGACATCTTTCCCTCGAACCTCTCTGTCGCTTTCGTAGAATGCCCTTCATTTCTGTCCTTTTTCTGTTTGTGGGGTCCTTTCTTTGATCCTTTTTCATCCTGTTTGATCATCTCTTTCCTTTCTCTCTCTGCCTCCATCTCTCTGTCTCACTCTCTGTCTTTCTGTCTCTCCGTGTCTCTGTCTGTCTGTCTCTTTCGCTCTGTACAGTCTGATTTCCATATATGGTTTTGGGGATTAGAACCAGATAAAGACAGGAATCTGCAGTAGTTCCACTGTGGTTCCACGCTCCATCAACACACACACACACACACACACACACACACAAACCAAATGTCTGATTTTGTCCCATTTGACTTTGAGGACTCGCCTCGTCTTCCAACTCTCATGAGAACACAACCACACACACACACACACACACACACACACACACACACACCACACATATACACACACAGATTGGGACTGGGTGAGGTCATGTTGGAGTTGAGGACTGCTGGTTTCCTGTCTGATGACGACTCTCCCTCCTTTACAGGCTCTGAAAGCTTCACACTCAACTCTTCTCTTCTCTTTCTCCTCATCTGTGTTCTAACCCCGTAAAGACCGAACAGACCTCGTACTTATTATGTCATGTGTTATTATTCTCATTGCATCCAAGCACCAGTCGAACAGACAGAACTTTATGTTCTCAAAGTCAAAGTGAGTCATGTCTTTGAGAAAAAGACACAGCAGCCATTTAAATTCTGCTTGAGTGTGACCTGCACATCCTAACCATGACTGAACCTCGCATCTTGACTTGCTTTTGAAGGACAAATTCTCTCTCCATGATCTTATAGTTGCGAACGAGGTGGTGACGACGTTATTTGACAAGCTAATGACCGGCACTGTGTCCCAGTTGTTTCAAGCGAAAAACAATTTTAATGAAGTCAGGCAGGGGAATTTTCTTTTACCGTTTGCATGCGTGTGTCTGGGGTTTGTTGTCTGACAGTTTAAGTGCTTGTGTTTTTTTTGTTTTTGACCCATCAGACGTCTTTTTTGTGAGTAACATGTTATTAATACTGTGTGTGTGTGTGTGTGTGTGTGTGTGTGTATGTAGAACCCCCAGTATTCCAACACCAGCACCTATGTGATCTACGCTCACCTGCTGAGGCAGATCGCTGCTCTGTCTGAGGCCGACCACCACTTCCTGGTTCATTGGCTTAAAAAGTAAGTAAGTGTGAGAGTGAGTGAGTGTGTGTCAACGTTTGATGTTTGTTTGCAGCCAAGTTGCCATAGTGTTCCCTGTCTGTCTTTAGCTATTTCTGTTCTGTTCTATTCATCATTCTTTTTATCGACCCGTCATTCTCTTCACTTTGCTTCATGCAAATATCACACACGGCTTCGAGCTTTGGCGAATTCCTCTTGTCATGTGGTACAAACCCCAAATTTTGACAAGTTGCTGCAGCTGCATTCTGCTCAGCAACCAACTTGTTTTTCATCATCATCTTTGTTTTCTACCCCTTATCGGAGGAGGAGGGGTGATTGAAATGAATGTTTAGGTATTTTTGAATATGCTGCTTACATACACTGGTCCATCTACGTCCCAGCCCTCACCTATGGTCATGAACTCTGGGTAGTGACCAAAAGAATGAGGTTGCAGATACAAGCGTCCGAAATGAGTTTCCTCCGTGTGGTGGATGAGCTCAGCCTTAGAGATAGGGTGAGGAGCTCTGTCATCCAGAGGGAGCTCGGAGTAGAGCCGCTGCTCCTTCGTGTCGAAAGGGGTCAGTTGAGGTGGTTCGGGCATCTGATCAGGATGCCTCCCTCCCGTTAGAGATGTCCCGGGCACGTCCCACTGGTAGGAGGCCCCAGGGCAGACCCAGAACATGCTGGAGGGATTACATATCTCATCTGGTCTGAGAACACCTTGGGGTCCACCAGGAGGAGCTGGAAAGCGTTGTAGGGGAGAGGGGCGTCCGAGGTGCTTTGCTTCGCCCGCTGCCCCCACGACCCAGGCTCAGATAAGCGGACGAAAATGAATGGATGGATGGATTTTTACATTGGTGTCCAGTCAGATAAGTCAGATTGGAATTTTCTATTAAGCGTGATATGCACTAACTCTGCATTATAACTTCCAAAAGATAGGAATAATATGATTGACAAATTAACAGCACTATCTATATTTATCATGCTATTTTTTGTCTCAAAAAAAACATCCACTTCCAGCCTGTTTTATCAAATGCTGTAGCTTTTAAAAGTTGACACACAGCCTACAATTACAAATGTAAGCCAGCTTCTGTGTGTCTCTCTCGGCCCGAAGAATGCATCCTGTATGTGGAGATGATTTACAAGCGAGCTGCTTTAAATTACAAGTTCTATTTAGCTCCCCTGCGATCCAAAAACCCAAATTCTCCATCCAACTGTTACTATTTTTCTCTCTTGAAGTGTAAGTGTCTATTTTGTGTGTATTTTAAGGGTAGTGTTGACAAAAATATCAATGTGCAGTTTGTGCAGTTTTGACTCTGCCAAGCTGCTGATGTTAACCATTATTAACTCTGTGTGTGTGTGTGTGTGTGTGTGTGTGTGTGTGCGTGTGTGTGTGTGTGTGTGTGTCAGGCTGTCAGCGAGGCGTTTCAGGCAGCTGGTAGAGCGCCTCCTGCAGTTCATCTCCACCCGTCTGTTTCCTGCAGAACCAGACGAACTTCCTCCTCTAGCCAAGTGCTCCTGGTGGATTCCCTCTGCTACCAAAGTCCTCGGCCTGTTCAGTGAGTCACACACACACACACACACAAACACACACACGCATATTCACATCACGTTAAGAACTCACTGTATATTTATTGTACGTACAACAGCTCACATGTCACATTTGACTCTCCTTCCCTCTCCTCAGATGCAGCCAACAGTGTCTCCTCTACTCCCATCATGCCTTTCACGGACTTCTACAACATCACTCTGGAGCACATAGACTTCATGGAGGAGTACAGGACCTGGCAGAGCTACGGCAACTCTAATAGGTCAGATACAACTTGGCAACTTTCTCGCCAGATTTAGCAACTTATTCAGACCATCAGAAAAGTGGAGAGAATATATTGTTATTCATTCCCATGCATGCTGCTCAGAGTAATTGACCTTTTGCTAAGCCCCGCCCCTTTCTGATGGTCCGACAAGCTGTCACAGTAAGCATGAAGTAACTAACTGAAGAAATATTATCATATCTTTTGAAAAATGAAAGAGTGATTCCAGAGAGAAGCAGACAGAGGGGTCTACAGTCTGTGTTTGAAGGATTTATCCAGGATGTCAAACTGACTCAGCAGCAACAACAGGTTAAAAAGACAAAGATAGTTAGAAGCTAAAGCCTAACTATAGGCTACAGATCACAGTGTAAAAGTGAACCACCACATCACTGCTGATCGCCACACAAGATAATGAATATAAAGGGAAATGTAGCCGATATTCAACCAGCTGTGTGGCATCGCAGTGTGTGCAGATGAACAGTGTTTGGCTTCGCCCCCGTGCTGCTGCCAGCACCTGGACCAGGAAGGGATCTCCGGGGAAAGTCAAGCAACGTTCATCTGCACACACTGCGATGACACACAGCTGGTTCAATATCAGTAAAGTTTCCCTGCTTCCCTTCACTGGTTCCTGTACAGCAGGGTCGGTCTTTGTTTCACTGTTATAATCATTAAAAAGCAAAAGCAGCATGTGTATACATTCAGTAGGCTATATCTTCAGTAGCTAGCTAGCTAACCCTACCCTTTTTGTTTTGGAACAGGGAAGAAACGTTTATCTTTTTCCAACCTCTCTCGACTCTCGTAGCAACATCTGGAGCTAGTGCTAGGTATTCTGATTGAAAAAGAGCGGGCAGCACTGGTCAGATACCTGTCTGTCTCCTTGTCTGTCCATTTCAACCATTGGACTGATTAGTTTTTCCGTCTGCTGACTTTTAAATGACTAAATGTGTCCAGAATAACTCTCATGTCTCCTAAACTAAAACCTAATCACGTGTCGTTGACAGAAATAAAGTTTGATTTTTTGATTGAAAAATGTATCCCTGCATGTCTTTAGTGCTGTTCAATAGATTTGTTGCTTTTGTGTAACGTTCAAGGAAACTCCCACTCAACACTGACTCTCGTCTGGTAAATAAGACATGGATATGAAATGTTGGAGCAGTGGAATAGATGGCAAGCAGAGACTTTTCCCAGGGAAAGTGTCTCGGGTCTCGCCTGCTAATAGGGACCAGAAATGCTAACAGATGTGACAACACACTAACTTGACTCACTACCCATGACCAAGACTGATGTTAGCTCCTTCTGAAGATTCCTGGAAGTCAGACGGAGTATGTCTCAATGAGCAGAGACCAAGTAACGTTCCCACAGCTGCAGTTTATCCACAATTGTGGAAACGCTTTCAGAAGCCGTGAAGACTGTTTCACGCTGCGTCACAGCTCGTTAACGTCTGATAAAAGAAATGGATTTAGAGTTTACAGTTCAAACGATTGGACTCTAAAAGTCCCTGGCTGCTGTGGGGGGGATTCTTCTCATGTTGGGCTCGGGGGTGTAGATGTCACAGCCTGCTTATTCAGGTAAAGACTATGATTTTAAAAACACGCAAGAGCTGGACGAGAAAGAATTGTCCATGTCGATAGTTTTAACTGCTGGTAGCAAAACATTAAAAATTAAGTTTTCAGGGTTATTAACTTTTCATGTTTCTTTATGTCCTTTGTCAGGTTTTCCTTCTGTCAGTTTCCCTTCATCCTTTCAACGGTGGTGAAGAAAGCCATCATCCAGAAAGACTCTGAGCAACAGATGATCAGTCAAGCCAGGGTGAGACAAACGCACACTCACACAAAAACATATGTGGTCATCTTTTCTTTGTTTTACTTTTGTTTTACATTTAAATAATATATGCGAGCCTTTACCCTAACCCTAATTTAAATCAAACCCCAGCCTTAAAGGTCCAGTGTGTTGGATTTAGGTGGATATATTGGCAAAAATGGAATATGATAAAATAAGTTTTGTTTTTTTAGTGTGTAACCACGTAAAAATAAGAATCATTGTGTTTTCGTTACCTTTAAAGTGAGCCGTTTACATCTATATAGGGAGTGAGTCCTCGTCTCTGGAGATCACCATGTTGCACGGCTGTGTTTCTGCAGTAGCCCTGAACAGACAAACCAAACACTGGCTTTAGATTGAGACAGTCACATTTCCACTTGTTTGCATTGGCCACTGTAGTTAGCAGCCTGTCTTTTACAAGAGCGTTGGAAAAACAGTGATATTTTTTTAAACGTGAAACAGCTTTATTCAGTGTTTACTGGTTTAAATCACCAGGTCTGTTTGTTTTAGAGAGGAAGAGACCTCTGTGGATAATTCGACTCACTGTAAAATCCTCCTGAACATCTGAAACTTGAATTATGAAGGAAAAAGATGAGCACACATTAACAGGTGCTGGGCTAGTGGCCCATCTATGACATGCCAAACAGCATAGGAAAAACACTGAAACTGATTTATTCAGTGTTTTTACCGGAAATAATCACCTGTGCCGTTTGTTTTGGAGAGGAAGAGACCTCTGTGGATAATTCGGCTCATAGTTAACACCTCCTACACAATGAACACTGAAGAAATTCTAGCTGGGAAGAGTTTCAGCTGGTTGCAGTCTGCAGTCCTCACCACTAGATGCCACTAAATGCCCCTAAATCTCCCACGCTGTTCCTTTAACTTTAAGTGACCTTACTTTCTAAATACAAGCCCTGCAAAGACATACAGTAACGCGGACACAAATGCATGTCTACACATTTTAATTGTGTGTGTGTTTCACAGCAAAGCCTGGTCAGTAAAGTTTCTCGCAGGCAGAGAGTGGACATGAACCTTCTGTTCCTCAACATTAAAGTACGACGAGCACAGCTCCTCAGCGACTCACTGGATGAGGTAAGGACACACACACACACACACTCTTGTCACACCTGTTAAAGATGTTTTTAAACTACTACTACTACTACCAAACTAGCTGGAGAGGAAGAGTTGTGTTTCCTCTGCAGAGATTTTATTATTTTATGTATGAGGACACCTGGGAGGCGAACATAAGTGCATGTGCACAGGTGTTATTCCATCGTTCCAATATTCCAGTGAAATGTTTCCACGGTTGTTTTATACTTCTACAGCATAAGCATATGTTTTTCTATTTCATTTCAAACTCATCTCCCAAAACAAGCAGTTAACATGTTTGGCCCTCAGGGTCACGTGGCTTTTAAGGGCTCTGTGACTGTAAGGGCCTTGGTGACCACACATAGGTTTGCATGTATCTTTTGGTCCAGTGCCAGAATAATTAATGACTAAACAAAATACCATCACTTGCAGTTTAATTGGAGCATTTCTGTATATATTTGCCTGCAAGTAGTGTACTGCACAAAGGAAAGATAATGAAGAAAGAAGGAATTCATCTCACTAACTGGAAATCTTTAGGGCCTTATGAGGTTTTGATGACAAACAAAAATATATTTTTTGCAGTGTGTTTTATAATGAGAGAAAAACAGGCAAATTTGTGGTGTGGGAATGCGGAGGGAGCGGTGAAGATACAGAACCAGTTGTGAGGATGAGCCTTTAATGTTCTACATTCATGTGTCGACCTCAAATGCTCAGTGTAACCTAAACCGAACTGTAAATCTCATGTGAACCCGAAAATGTAACTGATGTTAAATGTTAGTTTCTTCAGGAAGTGAGATTCAGCCCAAGTGTCCACACAGTTCTGTCTTTGTGAAGTTGTTCGGTCTGCAGAAGTTTAGGAATACTGTATGTTTTTAAGTCTAAATGAAACTCATCTGTTTGTCCGTCTCCCTCCACAGTTGACGAGGAAGCGGTGTGACCTGAAGAAGAAACTGCGGGTGACGTTTGTCGGGGAGGCGGGGCTGGACATGGGCGGCCTGACGAAGGAGTGGTTCCTGCTGCTGGTGCGACAGATCTTCCACACAGACTACGGTGAGACACACTGCCAGTTCAAAGAAATTAAAGTCTGGGATGTCGGTAAGTGTGGGCCATAAGTATGTGTACAGTGCGGCACACATGGCGACATGATTGCACACTGAAACATGTCCGTAGTATATATAGTTTATGACTCAACCCAGTGTGAATAAAGCAAATGGAAAAGCTGAGGTCTATCAACAGGGAACAAAAGATAATGCTGAGAATCTGGAGGGGAATCCAGTTTGATGCAAAGTCAATGGAAAGTGAAGCCATACTTTATTGAAAAGAAGCGGAAAGAAAATTTTATTGGATAAAAACGGAAAGTAAATTTTTATTAGATGGAGGTCTCAGCGGACGAGCTCAGTGAGTTTTCAGGTCGGTGGAGCTGCAGCAGCAATAACTGTCAGATGGCTGAGAGAGGCAGTCACTGTTGGTTTTGGAAAATCAGCAACAAACTGGAGCAGCGTGTGTTATGATTATCCTCTTCTCTTCGTCTGTTTCTCTTTTCAGTTTACTCTCCTGTCTTTACCGACTGCCTGACTCTAATTATCTCCATATCTCTGTGTCGCTTTGTTTGTGCGTCTTTGTCTCTTTCACTTCCTCACTTCTTCTTTCATCCTGTAAAAAAAAGTCTTTTATCTTTGATCCTCTCTAATCCTGCCATTTTAAAGGAACAGTCCACCAAAAATATATTTTTCGAGTATCAAATTTGTCTCCTATAATGTTGGAAAGTGGCTCTGAAACAAATGTCAGAAAAAGCATCAAAACTTTTATGGAATATTCTCAAATTTCTCCGAAGCACAATCCACTTTTTCTTCATCAATGCATATGTTCAGCATGTTCCAAACAACTGTTATTTATAGTAAATCATGTAATGTATTACTTTATGTCGCAGTATCACCTCCTCCAAAGATCTGCCTGACTTAGTGTAAGATTGTTCAATGGTGTAAAATTGGATCATCATCATCATCATCATCTTCATGCTGCAGCAGCTGGTTGAGTTCCTTTGGAAGTTTTGATACCTTCTTTGCTTCACTCTGGACCACCACTTAAATCCATTTCATCCTGGTTGCACAGCCACACTTACACCTAAACATTATCTTTTAAAATGACAATGCTGGTATTATTCTGAAGACCAAAACCAACCTCTGTGAGGAAATAATGAGGAAATAAAATGTTTCTTTCATGTCAGCTAGAGCAACACATACAGTAGAGGTTCTTGCTTTCCGAAACTGTTACAAAAAACTGTTCTATAAATCAGTTTATGATGTGACAGCACTCTGTTTAAAGGTCCAGAATATAGGAAATGGCCCCGAGCGCACCGAATGCAAAACGTGAGGCGCACCACACTGACTTTTTTTTTAAAAAATTGAATGCTACTAGTAAAAAAAAAACACCCAAAAAAATGCTTGATGCACCTTTTTATTGTTGCCAGGCAACCACCCCATCATGTCCTTACACTAACCTTCCCATGTATTCAATCTACCCTTTATTTATTTATTTATTTTTTTAAATTCGTATCTAGTTCCTAAAATGTTGAGGCAGACGGTACTTGCTGTAGCTCTGGTTGAGGGTGCGAGGCTGTCAGCAGAGAAATGGATAAAAAAGAGGGTGGATCATGGGGAGTACCACCAGTTGGTCCAGGAGTTTCTCCTCCATGATGACTATTTCCAGGCATATTTTAGGATGACTCAGGGGCAGTTTGACAACCTGCTATCTATCATCAGACCGTATAGCTCTGGGTATCCACCAGCCGCTACCACCAGTTTCTCCTCCATTGTTTACCAGCTGTAAACTTGTTGCTGTGACCACCACAGAAGGCCCGCCTCTCAAATCATCCAATTGGACAATGGGAAAAAAAAAAATGACGTCAGAGTTGACGTTTTTTCAGCTCAGGGAGTTCAGAACACTCCGGCAAAAACGCCAGGTGCCTAGAGCTCAGAAACACCAGGCAGGTCACAACGTAAAAACCCCAAGCAAAAAGCTTCATTCTCATTTAAAACTATTACAAAAAGTTGCCTCCAGCTGCTAAAACACTTTCCGTGTGATCTTGGCCTATATCTTCATACAGAGTGGGTTCTCTTCTACAGAGGCCACCATGTTGGTGTACAGTAGCCTATGACGGACATTTTTGCGTCGGCCGCTGTCCTTGTCCCACAGATTTGTTTCAGTTGGTGACAGTCTGCAATATACTGCTAGATGACACTAAATCCTACCCACAAGACCTTCAAAGGTGCTGAATGTAACTGTGGACAAAAAGATTGTTGAGTCTCATTCCCAGGTCATCAAATACTGACACTTTGGGTTGGTTATCAGACTGAACCATAAACCCAAAGAACTGGTATCTGACAACATTGGAATGAGACTGTGTTGCTCTATGAATAAGAATCAACAATCCACTATTGTTCTTTGGAGTTACATACAGCCCTTTGAAGGTCTGGTTTAAATTTAGTCAAAGATTATGGTTTGGGTTACAGAAATTTCTTGGATGAGGTTAGGAAAGTTTCATTGTCATGGTCTCAATAATGATAATAATACGATAATGAATATGACGTCAAGGTTAGGGAATGATCCCATATACTGTCCACTGGAGATGTAAAAAAAACAGTGTGGTCTCCCACTTAAACATGTCTATTTGGGGGACTTGAAACTGATGGTGTTGTTCTCGACAGTCTTGTTTAGCAACAATCAGAGGCACCAGCTAATGTCCATACAAGCAGTGGAGTCACACTGCACAGGCGGTGAGGATTCGGTGGTTAACAGACATTATTTCAATCCAGAATCCAAAGTGAACTTAAATGAAATACTAGTCAAACATTTCTGAAACTGAACTTTCTCCTTTCTTTTCATTCAACAAGTGTTTCCATCACTGTTGCTCCAATATTTCCTTTAACCACAAGACGCAGTCTCACGTCACGTCAGGACAGAAACCTTTGTACAATATTGATCTAGAATTTCCTCCAAGATTCACTGTTTGAATTCAGTACATTCAGTTCAGTACATTGGAATCTGCATAAAAAATACACGTCTGTCTGCATCTGCCTCTTCTCCTCTCCCTCTCTCTCTTACCTTCTATCTGTATGTCTCTCTCTCTCTCTCTCTCTCTCTCCTCTGGTCGAGTTGTTCTTTCCATCGTCTTTCCATCTTTCCGCGGTCGTCTGTGTTTTTGGTGCCAGGGGACGTCGGCCCAAAGCAACACACTCAATGAAAGCTGTGTTCCCCTCATTAGCAGCACAGGGAAAGCCCCGACTCTGCCTCACACACATACACACACAGAAGCCCACACTCAGCTGCACATAGGCAGGTGTACACACACACACACACACACACACACAGGCTCTTTTATGCGTGAAGCGGTGTCAGTTTCTGGTGTTCAGAGATGTGAGTGGTCCAGATGTGTGTCTCGGCTCAGAACAGACTGCTGCTGTTTCTCTCAGTCGGAGCTGGAAAAGCTTCAGCGCTTCACAATCTTGTGGAGTTTATTCTGTTTAACTACCTGCTCATCGTCCTGTTTATCGCTCTGACAGTCAGTGTTGAGAAGTGACGTACTGCACAGCAGTGAAAAATAATAAACAACTCAGACCACGCAGACACCCTGACTGCGAAGGACAATAATAATTCAGAGGAAGATTCAGATTCTGTACACAATATTTATAAAAAATAAATAAAATCTAACACAAATTGCAGATTTTAGCAATTCCCAAATACAAAACAAATGTACCCGGTACCCTGACTACTGTTAGGTACTGGGATGAAATCCTCAGAGCGATTGTCAGACCTTACACTGGTGCATTGGGCCCTGGGTTCCCCCTGGTGCAGCAAGCCCTGGGTTCCTCCTGTTGCGGTGGGCTCTGGGTTCCTCCTGGTGCAGCAAGCCCTGGGTTCCTCCTGTTGCGGTGGGCTCTGGGTTCCTCCTAGTGCAGTGGGCCCTGGGTTCCTCCTGTTGCGGTGGGCTCTGGGTTCCTCCTGGTGCAGCAGGCTCTGGGTTCCTCCTGGTGCAGTGGGCCCTGGGTTCCTCCTGTTGCGGTGGGCCCTGGGTTCCTCCTGGTGCAGCAGGCTCTGGGTTCCTCCTGGTGCAGTGGGCCCTGGGTTCCTCCTGGTGCAGTGGGCCCTGGGTGCCTCCTGGTGCAGTGGGCCCTGGGTTCCTCCTGGTGCAGGACAATGCCCGGCCTCATGTGGCCAGAGTGTGTAGGCAGTTCCTGGATGATGAAGGCATTGATGCCATTGACTGGCCCTCTGACCTAAATCCAGTGAGCACCTATGGGACGTTATGTAGTGGTGCATCTGACACAACCATCTGATGCACTGATCCAGGTCTGACAGGAGATCCCCCAGGACACCATCCGTCTGTGGATCAGTTGGATCAGCCTGTGTTCTCAGTTTTGTACTTTGACTTTCGGTGTGATTTTGAATCCAGCCCTCAGTGGGTTGATGATTTTGGTTTCCATTGACCGTTGTTACAGCATATTGTTCTCAACAAATTTTACAATGTGCATCAGTGAAGATTTACAACTTGAATAATGTGTTTGTCAAAAACCGATGTGTGTTGTAAGTGTTCCCTTAATTTGTTTTGAGCAGTGTATTCATCCCTCTTTCTTGCTTCCTTCCTTGTTACATCTTCTGTCTTTCCATCTTTTCACCCATCTTTTCTTTCGTCCTTACTTTCAAGTTTTCCTTTCATCCTTGTCTCCTTCCTTCCTCCCCTCCCTCCCTTGTCAATCCATCTATCTCTTATTCATCCAGGCTTTATTGGTTTATAAACCACCAGAATTGTGCTCAACCTAAATCTGTTTTTCAGGAATGTTCACCTACATGAAGGACTCGCGCTGCCATTGGTTCAGCAGCTGGAAGTGTGACAACTATTCGGAGTTCCAGTTGGTCGGGACTGTATCCTTTATCAAAGACGTTAGAGTATGGACACTTCCTGTAGTGTGTGTGTGTTGCATGTTATGCATGTTTGAAGGGGACCATGGCTGTTATATTCTCAATTAATTAAGGCGGAGGGTGTGTTTTTACCCAACAATGTATTTTTAGGTTCATCTATTATTCACCAGCAGGAGTAGCTTGTTTAGACCACATTAGCATTTTAATGATCTTCCATTAGAGTTATTATATTCATAGTTCTCCAGTGGTTTCACAGCTTCAGGTTGCAGGGGTTGTTCAGTCTTTAACGTGTAGGTAATGTGCACTCGGGTACAAATACACACACTCACACACACACTCTCTTCTCTTTTATTTCCCCTCCCTCCCCCTCTCACATACTCTAACACTCCTCTATTTTAAACCACAGAGGAGAAAGAGATACTATAATGTGTGTTTTTAGGCTGTAAACCCGCACGCCGAACACATATATCTCAAATAAATAAGTCTCTTTTCAGCACAGAGTATAAAATAAAACAGACGAGGTTTCTCACTGACACATTTCTCCGAAACAAGACAGCCTGAGTGATTTCACACCCACATACTTACATAACAAATACTCCAATAAAATTTAAACACTCAACCGAGTATTGTAAAAGGCATTCCTGGTAACATTTTCTTAGCTAAAGAACACTGCAGGATTTAAATGCTGCGGGCAGTGCTGTAGTCTTTAAGGTGCATGTAGATTGAATGTGAAGGGAATTTTCTATGGAGTGTTTTTGTAGTCATGGTTGGAACAACTGATGCAGTGACTGTAAAGATGTTTGGTCAAGCTAGTTGACACCACTAAGTCCTCATTTCTAACACAAAATACTGAATGTGCACTCACTCTTAAAGCATTTGCACCTTATACCTGTTGGTTTCTGCACAGGCAGTGTATGGGTGGAGGATTTCAAAGCTGAAATCAAAGCTTTTATTCAGCGACCTTGTGTCCTACAAATTATGTCTCTGTGCTACTAATTTACTGCCAATTGCATTCTGTTTGGGACTGTAATTGCTGCCTGAGTGATCTTCAAAGGTGACTTTTTTTTCCCAGTGAGGTAGGGTTTAGTTTTTGTACCACACAGAAGTCATAAGAAGGTGGCTGGTGTGGGTGGTGGAGGTACAAAGAGCAGGACGTAGACACCAGATAGAAGGATTCACGTCCTGAGCCCTGCATGTGGTCAGATGTAGGCGACAGAAGCACTTTGGTGAAGGTTAGGGAAGGATCATGACCTCGGGCAAATATTAGTTAAGTCATTTGACTTTTTAGCATGAGACCAAATGTATTAATGTTGTTGTTTTGTAAGAGCAGATAATATGTGAGAACATTTCACTGGTGCGTTCAACAACACCTGATGACATGCAGGATATGTTAATTAACAATGTTTCCACATTAAGTTAATAAGAAACATGGTCAAATGGCATTTTGTTTCTTTCAAAACATGTTTGCTGTTTCATATTAAAGGGATAGTGCACCCAAAAAAGAAAATTCAGCCATTATCTACTCACCCATATGCTCAGGTGAAGTTTTAGATTCCTCACAACACTTGCGGATATCCGAGGAGAGAGGGGGTAGCAACACAACTCCACCTAATGGAGGCTTATGGCGCCCCAGATTCAAACGTCCAAAAACACATAATTGAAACCACAAAATATCTCCATATTGCTCGTCCGTAGTGATCTAAGTGTCCTGAAGCCCCGACATAAAAAGTTGTTTGGAATGGCTGAATTTTCATTTTTGGGTGCACTATCCCTTTAACCCTTTAAAAACAGACCTTCCGTAGGCAGCCATGGGAGATCAGTGTTTGCATGATCTTTTATGTATTGATTTCAAACAAAAACCCTAACAGCTAGAACATTCATTCATTTTGCAGCAGAAAGATAAGGCTTAACAACAACAACAACAACAACAACAACAACAAACTTTATTTATAAAGCGCTTTTCAAAACAAAGTTACAAAGTGCTTTACATGGTTGATGGCAATTTTAGAAAATACTAAGAACCAAAAAAAAAAAAAATGAAATAAAGATACCATGTCATCACTGAAGCAGATAAGCAAAGTTGGCAATGTATTGCACTGTTGAAAATCAAATCAAACAATTAGAGTAATACAAAATAGAATAAAATAAAAATAATTCACTGTCATCATGTCTTTACCTTACATTACGTTACTTATCCTTATGCTTTGCTCTGTGCAAATACAAAATTTACCCAGGAGGCCACGGGAGATCATTGTTTGTATGATCCTGTGACCATTCGTTCTTTCTGCAGCAGAAAGCTAAGGAGGAACAAGGAGTGCCTTTTCACTCTGCTCATAAAAATGAGTATATCTCAAAAATGAAATAATGTACAAAGTTCACTTAACTAATAGAGAACCAAGAAATAGTGTCTTTATATTTCTACATTTAAAAATCCTTTGAATTGCTCTGTTTTGTGTTTTAATTTTGTGCATAGCCAAAGAAAAAGGAAGTTCCCACACACTGTCCTGTTACTTGCAATAAGCTTTGTTAGATAAACAGCTGACAGAGCGATCAGTCCCACAGTCAGTGTGTGTTTAGCCTAATAGAAGGCACCTCCCATGGCAAATATAATCATCATCATCATCAGCATAATTGCATAAATATATACAGTACAGGCCAAAAGTTTGGACACACCTTCTCATTCAATGCGTTTTCTTTATTTTCATGACTATTTACATTGTAGATTCTCACTGAAGGCATCAAAACTATGAATGAACACATGTGGAGTTATGTACTTAACAAAAAAAGGTGAAATAACTGAAAACATGTTTTATATTCTAGTTTCTTCAAAATAGCCACCCTTTGCTCTGATTACTGCTTTGCACACTCTTGGCATTCTCTCCATGAGCTTCAAGAGGTAGTCACCTGAAATGGTTTCCACTTCACAGGTGTGCCTTATCAGGGTTAATTAGTGGAATTTCTTGCTTTATCAATGGGGTTGGGACCATCAGTTGTGTTGTGCAGAAGTCAGGTTAATACACAGCCGACAGCCCTATTGGACAACTGTTAAAATTCATATTATGGCAAGAACCAATCAGCTAACTAAAGAAAAACGAGTGGCCATCATTACTTTAAGAAATGAAGGTCAGTCAGTCCGGAAAATTGCAAAAACTTTAAATGTGTCCCCAAGTGGAGTCGCAAAAACCATCAAGCGCTACAACGAAACTGGCACACATGAGGACCGACCCAGGAAAGGAAGACCAAGAGTCACCTCTGCTTCTGAGGATAAGTTCATCCGAGTCACCAGCCTCAGAAATCGCAAGTTAACAGCAGCTCAGATCAGAGACCAGATGAATGCCACACAGAGTTCTAGCAGCAGACCCATCTCTAGAACAACTGTTAAGAGGAGACTGCGCCAATCAGGCCTTCATGGTCAAATAGCTGCTAGGAAACCACTGCTAAGGAGAGGCAACAAGCAGAAGAGATTTGTTTGGGCCAAGAAACACAAGGAATGGACATTAGACCAGTGGAAATCTGTGCTTTGGTCTGATGAGTCCAAATTTGAGATCTTTGGTTCCAACCGCCGTGTCTTTGTGAGACGCAGAAAAGGTGAACGGATGGATTCCACATGCCTGGTTCCCACTGTGAAGCATGGAGGAGGAGGTGTGATGGTGTGGGGGTGTTTTGCTGGTGACACTGTTGGGGATTTATTCAAAATTGAAGGCACACTGAACCAGCATGGCTACCACAGCATCCTGCAGCGACATGCCATCCCATCCGGTTTGCGTTTAGTTGGACGATCATTTATTTTTCAACAGGACAATGACCCCAAACACACCTCCAGGCTGTGTAAGGGCTATTTGACCAAGAAGGAGAGTGATGGAGTGCTGCGGCAGATGACCTGGCCTCCACAGTCACCGGACCTGAACCCAATCGAGATGGTTTGGGGTGAGCTGGACCGCAGAGTGAAGGCAAAGGGGCCAACAAGTGCTAAACACCTCTGGGAACTCCTTCAAGACTGTTGGAAAACCATTTCAGGTGACTACCTCTTGAAGCTCATGGAGAGAATGCCAAGAGTGTGCAAAGCAGTAATCAGAGCAAAGGGTGGCTATTTTGAAGAAACTAGAATATAAAACATGTTTTCAGTTATTTCACCTTTTTTTGTTAAGTACATAACTCCACATGTGTTCATTCATAGTTTTGATGCCTTCAGTGAGAATCTACAATGTAAATAGTCATGAAAATAAAGAAAACGCATTGAATGAGAAGGTGTGTCCAAACTTTTGGCCTGTACTGTACATAAATTAATATAATGTAAAAAAAAATGTGATTACTGTTTTTGTATGTATTGTTTTTAACATTATATGATTCAGTGTATATATTTATACAGTTATTGCTGACAATGATGATTATAGTTGAAGGTGGGAGGTGCCTTTTATTAGCTTAAATGCACACAGACTGAGGGACTGATTGCTCTCAGATCATGGCCTCTGATTAGCCTCATCTTGGTCGGTGTTATCTATATAGTTTTCTTTGTTTTTTTTCTCCTCACCTGATGAAGGTCGAAATTTTATCTAAAAAAGTTTATTGCAAGTAACAGGACAGTGTGTGTGAAATCCCTTCACCCTCTTCACCCATGGACACTTTTCTGCTAGGTGTGCACGAGCTTCCATATTTTAGTATTTTTATTTCGTAAAATCTGATGAAAAAACATGGCTCATTTTCAACACAGTTATCAGTCATTGTAATTTATTGACTTACATAACCTTTTAGCTTAGGTTCCATAGATCTTAGAGATATGAAGCATTTGATCGCACTCCAAGAAATGACATCACAATAAGCAAAACCAGTGCAGACACTAGAGGACCATTTATATCCCAGAGTTCAAAGGGTTAAGGGAATGCATATGTAATTTCTTGGAAACAGAGTTGTGTCCAGCAGCTCTCTGACCAAAGAGTACATATTATACTTCAGACAGCTGCACATTTTTTCCTCCACTTGCAGCCTGTTTGAGCAGGAAATGA